GGGGGGGGGGGGGCACAGTATCACGTGCGAGGTAGTGTTGCGACGCAGCGGCAGTGCTGAGAGTAGGGTACAGCAGTACATGAAAGTCAATCCCCGCCGACGTTTTTGTCGAAGAAACCGGAGAGGGCGGGGGACGCCTTGGTAGATGTGTTGGTTGGTTGTTGTTGCACGCAGATGGAATGCGTTTTCGTCTTATCTGCAGGAGCTAGCGATAGCACCAGACGGCTTTGCAGCTCCCGCTCATGTGATTGAATCTCGGTAATTGGTGTTGCTTTCTTCTTTCCGTGTCAGGTCCGTTCGTGCCGTTTTGGGGTGGCGCGTACACGTTCAATGAGAGAAAGACTCTGTACAGGCGGGGGTATAGTTTTTTTTTTTTTTTCCTGGTTTGAAACAGGGTGGAGATGACCTATGCATAGGACGGTTTCCTCTTGTCAGCAAGTTCCTGAGGTCGACAGAGGGGTGTCCTATGTGGCAGCAACAGGGGTGTGTTTAGAAGGAAAGAACGGGTCCAACAACGAACATGGCCAGATCAGAACAAGACACGAAACACGAGAGGCTTGGGCAAACTCTCTCTCGGCACCCTTTTTCAAGCCAGGACAAAATAATCCCCCGCCACATGTACGCGCCGTCCATGACTAGACATGACATATATATGAAGCCACAGCCGCATCTACCAAATCTACCAAACGCTCGTCACCGTGGTACTAACAGCGGCTACTGCGCAACCTCCCTCGACGTTGTCACCAAGCAAAGGTATCGCGACGACGGCGGGGAAAGCGGCGCAGCAACTGCTGCTGGTTCCAGCATGATCAATGTGTGGCAGATAGTGCTGGTGTTCCATGTCATGTCTATTCGGGTCAATGCATGGTGGGCGCGAACATGTCGGGCTACACACTTCCGTTTTCCTGCTTTGAACTGGGCTCTGAGAGAGTACTTGCCCATGCCCTCTGGTGTCTCGTGTCTTGTTCTGATTTCTCCACGTTCGTTTGTGGACCCGATTATTCCTTCTACTAAAGCGTGCCCGTGTTCCTGCCACAAGAGAACACTCCTTGTCGACCCCAGGAACGTTTCCCGAATTGTTCCCCCCCCGTCAAGAGCGTCGCGGTCACAGCGCTGTCCCCCACGGCAGTGTGCTAACAAATGTTTAGCAAGTTTCTCTTGTGTTGTGTGTTGGTTGTGTTTCCTCCCCGTATGTTCTGTACGTGAGTGTTAGATGCGATCATGTAGCAAGTAAAAAATGTTGCGTGTGTATGTCCGTCCCATCTTGTGGTGTACCGTACGTTTGGCGTACCAGCCGGGGTCACCATAGGCTACTACTCCGAAGCGAAGGTGATTTGATTTTGATAAAGTAATTGTTTGGGGAAGGCACTTTAGAGATCCAGTTACCTTATCAACGGTAACTACAAGAACCTGAGTTCGCCTCGTCATTTTTTTTCTTATCTGTGCCGTCGTAGGATGTACTGTTTATTATTGGTTTTTGTTTTCGTTAGGGTTATACATACAATGGCTGAGTTCACCACCTTTTTTTTTTGTATCTCTCCCGTGGTTGGCTTGACTATTCCGAGAACAGAACGTGTTCGAGAAGGAGTGTTTCATGTCCGGGCAGAAGCTGGTGGCGATCATCTCCGAAGCGGCGTCGGCGGGCATTTCCCTGCAGGCCGACCGAAGGGCGAAGAACCAGAAGCCCCGCGTCCACATCACCATGGAGGTGCGTTCGCGTGTAGGAATCGTCCGCACTCATGAACCTCACGATGTTACTAGTATTGTTCCGCTTGTGGGCTGCAAGTGGCCGTTCCTACCAAGGACTGTAGTGTGGCGGTTCTTAACCGTGCTGACAAGCGGTGCTCAAGTTGTTGTGTCCGATAGCCGCCAAGTCCTTCTTGTTTCCGATATCTGCCAAGTTATTGTGGCCAGTAGCTGCCAAGTTCTTGTTTCGTGTCGAATCACTGCCAAGTTATTGTGTCCGATAAGTACCAACTTCTTGAGTCCGATATCTGCCAAGTACTTGAGTCCGATAATTACCAAGTTCTTTTATGTTGCCTCCTGTGTTTTGTTTTATGAAGCAGCTTCCCCCGAAGCTAATTAGGAGGGGGTCCCTGTTTAGTGCCGGTGGAATAGTGCCAATGCCCGTTACAGTGCCGGTGTTTCGGCGGGCACACACACTGAAGTTCCAAGTCATCAGTACTCTGAATAGCGCCGGTCCGGTATAGTGCCAGTCGATTTTACGGGCACACGCTGGCACTAACCAGGTACCCCCTCTGTACGACCTGCTGCCGTGTGTTTGCGTCGTGCCGCGAAACGGAGCAGCTTCCATGGAGCGCGGACAAGGCGGTGCAGCAGCTGGGCCGCTCCCACCGGTCTAACCAGAGCTCGGCGCCCTCGTACAAGCTCCTGCTGTCCAGCGTCGGGGGCGAAAGGCGTTTCGCCTCCGCAGTCTCCAGCAGGCTGGAGTCGCTCGGAGCGCTCACGCAGGTTCGCTGTTTATTTGTCCGCGGGTGCCCTCCTCAACCCACGTTTCCGATGCAACTTTTGTTGTTGATTTTTGGCTCAGTGATGGTGTGGTCGAGGCTTGCGCGGCTCATAGTCTTCCGGGTGTGTGTGCGAGTTGTCTGTCGCGTGTTGTGGGGAATGAGGGGGGTTGTTGCGACGCTCGGGGTGGCTGTCATCGGTGAGCAGGCGCAAGGGCGGAGGCGTTCCTATCGCTGTCTGCCGTCACGTCGAGCTTCAGGGCGGGTGACGCGAAGTAGGAAATGTCATACGTCGCTATGACTTCATTGCCAATCTATCCCGGACTCTTTTCTGTTGGAAGAGATTAAATTTGTTGTGTTTCGCAAGAAAAAACAAAAACAAAAACTAGGCACTCGCACCGTACAGGGACTTGCGGCGTAATTAAAACCGTTTCGATAGAGCCCTTGCGAACCTGTGCCCACCGGTCCCGGTGGCCTCGGTCACGCGGCCCCCGCGCCTCTCCCGTGTGTGCCTCCTCCCGTTGCCTGTTGTCTGCTGCTTTGTTGTATGGTGCCTGTTTGTTGTCTGTTTGTCTGTCGTCTGTTGCGTGTTGTATGCTGCGTTTTCCGAAGGGGGACCGGAGATCTGCCGGAGCGCACGGGCTCGGTCTGTCGGCCTTCAACATGGACACCAAGTACGGCCGCCTGGCCCTTGAGAAGGTGCTGCTGGCGGCGATCCGCCGCATCCAGCCGGAGGTGGTGTTTCCCGCCCTGCCCGAGGGAGAAGACACCAAGGTCAGGAACACCCTACAGTAGTAACCGTCCGTGGCGCTCGGAGTAGTTTTGTGGCAACAAGTACGTGAAAAAATTGTTATGTTGTCTGCAAGGTGGTACTCGGAGTGGGTTGGTGGCAAGAAGTAAGTGAAACGGTGTGCTTGGTACAACGCGGAAGGGGCTTCGAGAGAGAATGTGGTGTTGGAGGGTGTGCCGCAGAGCTCGGAGATTCACTAAGGAGATAGTCTAAACCGGTGTGCGCGGCCAACGTCACCAAGGCTAGGGCAGAGAGGCAACCTGAGTACCCCTCCCTCCCCCCCTCTCGCCAATGCCCTCGCAGAGCCTGCCTTTGGTGCTGGAGTCCGACATGGCGGACATGTTGATGAGGTACGACTCAGCGGCGGCGAGCACCATGGTCAACAGGGACGAAGACCGAAGAGTCACGCCAGGTGAAGTGTTGTTGCTTGGTGAAGCAATGGTCGCAGTTGCGGTGTGACACTGGCACCGCTTGAACAACGAGATCAGCAAGCGGCAGGTTTATATTGTGGCTGTTGTGTTGTATTTTTTTTTTCCGACATTGTAACTTGCCGCGCACGTTTTGAGCTATTGGTCTGGCGATGGTTCGAAAGTAGGGGGGTTAACTCAGGGTGGCTCAACGCTTGTGTGCTATGAATGGCGTGAACGAGGATATTTATGATGGAAAGCAAAGCATGTCCACCCTCTGCACCGCACGATGCACAACCCTCATTTTCGTGTGTTGTATTTTCCTCTGGCTCGTTTTGTGTCAATGTTGTTTGTTATTGGTGATGGTGGTGTTTGTATCGTTGTTGTTGTTGTTGTTGTTGTTGTTGTTGTTGTTGTTGTTGTTGTTGTTGTTGTTGTTGTTGTTGTTGTTGTTGTTGTTGTTGTTGTTGCCGTCGTCAATATTGTCAGTGTTGTTGCATGGTGCTAAATAATGTTGATGCTTGTCCGTCTCTCGGTCGTGTCGCGCCGGCGCAGAGGAGGCGACGAGGGTGTGGCTCAACGAGGTCGGTCTTGAGCTGCCCGGGAGGTTCACGACCGACTCCGTGAGGATGAAGAAGATTAGACAGCTAACCGACGTGGGCCGCTTCCTCAACCGACTGCTGGGTGAGGCCAGAGAAGAAATTCACAGCCAGATTATCTGTTGTGCTGTCTTGCTGCCTTTTGTTGAATACAGCAGTGCCTGCTTGAGTGAGAGAAGAGAAGAGGGTCACGACCAGATTGTGTATTGCGTTGCGGCCTTTTTTGTTGCATGCAGTAGCGCCTGCCAAGTGAAAGAAAAGGAGGGACGCACAGCCAGGCTATGCAGGTGTTATGGTTTTCTGGACTGCCGGCAATGGGTACATAGGCTCGACCCTGGCCTTTCGGTTGCGTTTTTTTTTTTTGCTCGACCAAGGCCGGTGTTAATGTGTTGCTGTTGCAAAGACGGGTGAGATAGCTTACCGTGTCGTTAAACGTCCCCCCGACAACCACTTTTTCTTTTTTTATGACCCCCTTTTTATCTGCGGCCGCGTTTGCGCCTGCCGCTGCCGCCACGTTTCAACGTGTCTGGCAATTACCAATTCATCATATTTAGCCTCGATCTCGTGTAGTTAATTGTCGCCAGCTCAAGCTTCATTTTGTGAGCCTTATTTTTATTTGTTTTTTCGTCACGACGGTGCGGTGATCGTTTCTCACACGCCACGCACGCACGGTATTTTTCTCTTATTTCGTCTCGGTCTTAACCGCACCGCCGATCACTGGTATCGACCTTTGCTCCTGCGGCATGAGGCAGGACTCCAGCTGGCAAGACAGACATACCTCTTCCAGCTCTTCTCGGACACGCTGGACTCGCTCGTGATGAAGTCGAGGGCGGAGGGGGCCTACGACGAGGGCATCTGCGAGATCAAGGGGCGCGTACTGACCTTCGAGGGGGACCCGGAGGTGCAAAAAATGTTGGGG